GGGGAATTGTCATTGGTCTTGCTGGTGTACATCTTCTTCTTCTTCTTCTTCTTCTTCTTTCTCTCTCCTGTGGTCTTTATCTCTTTGCAAGTGCTTTCATTTCTTTCGCAATTGGGTGGCATTGTCTTTCATTGTGAATTTGCACTTGGGAAATGACCAGGATTGTAACAATTGGTATCGGAGCGGACTTACTTGCTGGCGAGAGGTGTTAGTCACCCTAACCCTAATTCCGAATTAGGTTAGGACACACCTAATCTCGGACTAGGGTTGGAAGTTAGGGTTAAGTGGGGCATGAGGTAAGTGGATACTGCCCCCACCTGGTTAGGTCATGTAGGGTCGACATTTGACCTGACCAGGTTGACTGAGTGAATGGATGGGGTGGCGAGACACAAAGGAGGCTGATTGGAGTAAGTGAGAGGGAGTAGAGAGTGAGAGGTACTCGCACCTGGAATCTGCACTTCAAGAAGACTGAGTGACTTTTGGGCTTCCCCTCAAGAGGGAGACTTGATTGGAGGCTGCCATATCTGCATCGAATTGCTGCAAGTTGCTACTTTGGTGTTCAGACATCGACGGGGGATCCGGCTTTGCAACAGGGGTGTAGGAAGGCCCTCTTAGTCATGCTAGGACACTTCGTGTAGTGGTAGCTAGGCGTCAGGAGGACTTATGAGAGAGGGGGGTGACTCGTTATCCATCTTTGGAGGTCGGGCCTCACAGGTAAGTGCCGTGTGACCTGGTTATGCCCGTGGGAGGTTTTGCTTGGTACTTCATGGCCTGTTGGGGCTGTGCTGGGCTCTCTTCCTCTTCTCTGCGGTCTTGGTTGTGTGTGTGAGCATGTGGATTGATTTCTCACCTGATGGATGGATGGATGATGTATCTGTTCTGAATGACATATCTTTCTACAGTGCATTGTCTTTTCATTTCTAAACGGCTGTAGGGGTAAGTTCTTGCTGAAAGTTGTCTTTTCCTTTTCAGTACGGTAGAGGCAGTTTGGGACCGACTTGGTACCCCTATCTCGTTGGTCCTGGTCCACGACCTACTTGGGACCCCTCGGGACCCAGTGGGACCAGGCCCAATGGGACATGACCTTTCGGGCCCAAATCTGTTGCCACCTGTGCATCTCTTTGCTGCGCTGAACTTGGGGGACATGCGGCTAGCAAGGGCATTCCTTTCAAGGGGATCTTGACTGGTCTTACCGCCTGTTATCACATACTGCCCCACGTCTGGCTCGACGACCGTCTGCACCCCTCGAAATCTCCATTGGTGCAGTTAGTTTTCTTCAACTGATTTATTGTGATACATGTCCCTTGTCAGGTTAGACAAGAGGGGATCTCCAGCTAATCTGATCGGGCCCGTTCTATAAGTCAGTCCTCTCTTCTGTTTTATTTTTATTTATTTATTTATTCTTTTATTTTGCTGCGTGCCATTCTCTAAGTCCAAATGAATCGCCGCTCTGGCTAGGAGTTCTACCTTCTACTCTGTGTGATGCACTGATTGTTTCTTTCATTTGAACTATCTATGTCCGGTATTGAGACGCATGTGCAGACAACGGAGAGAGAGAGAAGGGAGAGAGAAGGTGTTCTTTTTGAGAGCGTGAGGAAGGGCAAGAGGAGTGTTCGTCCAAACGTGAGGAGAGAGCGGACCCCTCTTGAGAGAACTGCTAACACCCCTTCGTTGGGCATGGCAGACATCACATCTGCCCAATGGCAGGCCATGCTGGACGCAACAGATGAGAACAAGAAACCATTCTTCCAAAAGCTTTATGATGATGTCGTGCAGAGGGAAAGGGAGGCACAGGCAGCAGCCAGAGCCACAAGCATAGCTGCCCAGGTGACCCTCCTTCAGGTCCCGGAAGCCAATGCTGATCCGTTCCAGGAGAGAATAGCTGCTGCCGTAGCAGCCTTGGTTCGACTGCGGAACTTAGAAGACAGTGAGACCTGTGTAACAACACTGGAGCAGCGGAATCAAGAGCTACAGGCTGAGATAATCAGCCTCAAACAATCCCAATTGTCTACCCCCCGCCTTCCTAACCCTCGACCTGCTGCAGTCCCAGCCTCTCAATCCAACACAGTCCTCATGGCAAGAGCAAGTGGAACTGTGCCAAGCGTAGGAACCAGTGCCAGCTCCTCAAGCGGCAGCGCCGACAGTTCTGCACTAGTCATAGTCCCAAATGCAGGGACATCAGCCCAAAACGCCTCAGTCCTTACTGGCGTTTGGTACAGCGGTCCCGTAGTGGACAAGCGGGCGGCCACCTTGCCGTCCAAGTACGACGGGAAAGCGGATATCACCTCTTGGATAAGTTCCATGCGCTCATACTTCGAGGTCATGCGGACACCGCAGAAAGACCGAAGCATGATCATGGGCACTAATACTGAGCCCGCCGTACGAAATCCCATCGAGCTCCAAGCTGTTGCTGCAGGTTATGAAAGAATTGACCTGACTGAGTGGTTGAAAGTAACTCTTGTGCGCGCCCTTGAGGATTTTCTCATCACACGGTACCAAGATAAGCATGATAGGCTCAAGGCTAGGCTGAAGCTTGAGGCCCTCAAGGGCCAAACATGGAGGTCCTCCATGCAGGCTTTGGAACAGCACTTGACTCGTCTGTTCACCACTCCAGATCTAGGAATGACTGACGTGTCTTGTATGGATGTAGTCATGGGAGTGCCCCCTAAAGAATACCTCTCCCTGTTAGCACTCAAAGACCATACCACCTGGCGAGAGCTCATGACGGACCTAGTCAACCTAGAGGCCAAGGACCTCGCCAGGCGGAAGAAGGCGCCCGCTGCAGGTGGAAAACCACAACGCAAGCAGTATGGAAGCAGCAACCAGCTTGCCCTGCATGAACATTGGGAACATGAAGATCAGTCCTACGCGGATGATCTGTCTCTAGATGACGATCTAGAGCCGGACTCCGATATGGGCTGTTCCACATCAACCATTGAGTCCTACGTAAACGAAGACGAAAAACTTAATGCGGTAAAAAAGACTGCTTCAAACAAGGGGCCTAACCGTGGTTCGGGTAAGGGAACTATTGTCCACCTCCCTAAGAATGTGAAGATCCTTGAGAAACCGGAGGACGCATCTACCAAGCCTTGGGAAGCCCTCCGTATTAGTCAAAAGGAATGGGAAAGAAGATCTAAACTGCGCATATGCTTGCATTGTCAAAAGCTTGGGCATGTTGTGCAGTATTGTTATAGACATCAGGGAAACACGCAAAGGGCGTAGAGGAGTCATCAGCACTCCCTACAACAAGGGAAGCTCGGACATCAGTTGCAGGCCCCTCCAATGAGCTTGAATCTGATCAACAACCTACTCTTAAAGCCCGGAACGACGCTGAATCCAAGGCTGCTGCAATTCATGTGCTATACACCGAGCCTTGGGAGGAGTCTAAGGAAGTTGACTTTGACGCTCACATGGAACATTGGCTGCTGCTCAAGCAGCAACGCCGTGTTCAAGGGAGTGTGGAGCTTACCTTCTTTAAACTGCTCATTAACCGCCGATACATCCGCGTGCTGATTGATAGTGGTTCAACCACTAATTTCTTTTCTCCTAACGTGATTCGTAAGGCGGGTCTGGGAATGAAGCAAGTGGAATTGCAGAACCCTTGTCAGACCCAGGTGGGCAACCAAGAGGTTGTCACCTCCACACATGCTGTTAAAGGTGTGCGCGTCACCTTTGACAAGGACCGCACTGTCACACATGAGCTCAACTTTTATGTCATGGACAAGTGTCCGTTCGACGCGGTCATTGGCTTGGGCTGGTAAAAGGCTCATTGCCTAAGGACCACGTGGGCAGACAATCAGTTCGTGGTGTGCAATGCCAAGGGGAACAAGCGTACCGTCTTATTGGATGAAACGCGCGAGTCCCCTGTGACTCTTCTAACTGCAAACAAATTCTGCAAATCAGTGCGCAGGCGCAAGGAAGTTGAGCATGTACATGTAGCTTTTGTAAAGCCTCTCCATGTGCCTTCTACTTTTGCTGCATTTTCTACCTCGGTAAGTAACTCTACTTCTACCACCTCTACTTTTGATCCATCTACTTCTACTGTGAATAATCCCTCTACTTCTGATCCAAGCAATTCTAATCCGGTTGTAATTGCTGTAAATCCTCAATCTAATTTTCTTTCTCCAGATGAGGATGATCCTCCACCAGAAGTCCCAACAAACATTCGCCAGCTATTAGATCAATTCCCTGAAGTTCTGGCCGAACCTCGTGGAGTTCCTGAGCGTCCGCTCAAACACAAAAATCGAAATAATAGAAGGGAGTGTTCCTCCAAAGGGTTGCGTCTACCGTATGGGACAAGGCGAGTTGGAGGAGTTGAGGAGGCAGATTGACGACATGATTGACCGTGGATGGATTAGGCCTAGTGAGTCTGAGTTTGGTGCACCTGGCTTGTTTGTGCCAAAGAAAGGAGGCAAACTCCGGATGTGTATTGACTATCGTGACCTCAACCGAATCACCCGAAAGAATGCTTATCCTTTGCCTCGCATAGATGATCTGCTAGACGCGGCAGATGGGTGCAAGGTCTTCTCCAAGATCGACCTCAAGTCTGGTTACCACCAGATTGAAGTTGATCCGAGTGACCCGCACAAATATGCATTCAAAACACGCGATGGGCTGTACGAATTCATCGTTATGCCCTTCGGTCTTACGAATGCACCAGCCACATTTCAGTGCCTCATTGACAAGGTACTTCGCCATCAACTCAACAGGTTTGTGGTTGTGTACCTTGACGATATCCTGATCTTCAGCAAGTCCATGGAAGAGCACGTCAAGCACCTTGAGGAGGTCTTGCAAGTCCTCAAGGAGGCGCAACTGCACCTCAACTTAGAGAAATCTGAGTTTGGAAGGGACAGCGTCATCTATCTTGGGCACCGGTTGTTAGCAAACGGCCTTGAGCCGGAGGCAACCAAGGTTGAGGTCATCTGAAAGTGGCCTCAACCGGCGAACGTGCGCGAACTGCGTTCTTTTCTTGGTTCGGCCTCATATTACCGGAAGTTTGTGCCCAAATTTTTCTATTATTGCTCACCCACTCTCGAGGCTAACCAGTAAGAATGTTGCCTATGCGTGGTGTGAGAAGTGTGAGACTGCGTTCCAAACCTTGAAAGAGGCATTGGTGAGTCATCCTGTGCTCCGCATTGCGGATCCCAACCTCACGTTCGTAGTCACTACGGACGCGAGCCAGTTTGGGATTGGTGCAGTGATGCAACAAGATGATGGTGATGGCCTGCGTCCGGTCGAGTATTACAGCAAACGCATGCCCAACCACAAGGTAGCTACTTCCACATATATGCGTGAGCTCTACGCTCTGCGTGAGGCATTCGCACATTGGAAGCACTACCTCTTGGGTCGTCACTTCAAGGTCTACTCAGATCATTAGACCTTGCAGTGGATTCAGACACAAACTGATCTCTCTCCTACATTGACCCGCTGGTTGCATGACATTGATGTCTATAGCTTTGAGTTGAAACACAAGAAAGGCTGTTATAACCGGGTTGTTGATGCATTGTCCCGCCATCCTGAATTCTTGACTTGCCTTGTGGGTTCGTATGACCTCCGAAGGAAACTGAAGGAGTATCTGGCCGAACACACCGCCAAGGATCCGGACCTTAGTCCCATCCTTGAGCAGCTCAAGGCTGACCCTAACAGTCAGCCTGATTTTCATGAATGCGAGGGTCTTGTGTTCCGCCGGTATGGGAAATTTGATCGTTTGTGTGTACCCAACCATGCGCTTCTCCGAACTTATTTCTTGGATTTGGCACATGGTAGGAGTGGACATTTCGGCTTCGAGAAGACTTACGGAAGTCTTCTGCAACAGTTTGATTGGCCAGGAATGACAGGATTTGATCAGAAATTTATTGCTGAATGTCAGGTATGTCAAAGAACCAAGGTCCACAGGCATAAGCCTTATGACCTGCTGAGACCCCTCCCCATTCCTGATGGACCCGGTGAGTCGATTTCCATCGACTTCACGGACATGGGAAAGGTGAGTGAGGCTGGAAATTACAAAGTCATGGTCATCGTGGACCGTTTTTCCAAATTTACGAACTTGATTCTTTTCCCTTCCCATGCCCCGACTGAACTTGTCATTGAAGAATTCCATCAGCAGTACATTCTGCAGTTTGGCACCCCAAAAACTATTGTGAGTGATCGGGACACCAGATTCATTAGCAAAGATTGGAAGGACTTCACCTCTCAAATCTATGACATTAAACTGAACAAGACTTCTGGTCGACACCTCGAAGCCAATGGATTGGCTGAGGAGATCAACCAGACTGTCATCCAACTACTTCGCGCATTGATTGTTCCAGATCAGAACACGTGGGACAAGGAGTTGCACAAAATGAAGGGACTGTATAACTCCATTCACTCTGCAACTGGCATGACCCCCTCTCCTATCTGTTCCCCTCTCATATCTGTTCCCTGAACGGTCACCTAGTCTGATGCCTGGCATGCCTAGCTACAATGCCAAGTACGCACACTTGCTCAAAGCTGTTATTGCAGCCATGAACAAGCGCCAGCATGCCATGATCAAACATGCTAACAAGTTGCGCAAAGAAGAAAGATTCAAAGTAGGGGATTATGTTTGGGTCAAAATGTCTGAGTTTTCTGATGAAGAGGGCATATCACGAAAACGCCTTCCATTGTACTATGGCCCTTGGCAGATTCTAAAGGTGATTGGAGATGATTTTGGTCCTTCATATATGTGATTGACGTGCCTCCTCATCTGCGCACGTATCCATTCTTTCATGCGTCCAGACTTTCCCACGCATTGATGATGAGAAGTTTCCCTTCCGAGACCCTATGATACCTCGCTCTATCGACGACGGCCATGAGATAGACAAAAAAAATCGTTTCTCACGAGGGAAGAGGGAGGAACAGACAGTAAAAGGTTCACTTCCTCCATCACCCGTTGACTGAATTCTTCTGGATCGACCGAAAAGAGATGCTAAAGAGTGCTCCCCGTGTTGTGAACGCTTATGAGCGACAGATCGTTGAGGGACAGACTGCTAAATTTGTTGCAAAAACGACTCCTCACGGACTTACTAAGTCTCTCTTAATGATTTACTCCTACGATGCATTTTGTCCCAACTCTGAATGAGTTACTCGCTCGAAGGGACCTCGCTCTTGAGAGGGGGGTAATGGAATGACCCGCCAAAAACACAGACTCAGAACACTGCTGATTTCTGGGATTTGCCGCTGGAATGAATGCCTTGTTGAAATTCCCGCATTCTGCTGTGATATCCATGTCTGTGTGTGTGTGCGTGMCTGCTGGTTTGCATGCCTGTCTGAGTGCTTGTCGGTTGAGTGTGTGTGTGACCCGCAAGGGTACTTGTTGGTTGCAAGGCCCCGCAGGGCCGGTACTTACCTGTGGTCGTGACTGTGAAGGGTTGCAGGGGGAAAACACTCGAGTAGCGGGGGTAGGCCCGCGACACTTAGAGCAGAGGGGAAAAACACTCAAGTAGCAGGTAGGCCGGTACCACTGAAGTAGTGGTAGAAGTGACGGGTACTAGAGGCCGAGCAGAAGAAGACAAAAAGTTGGCATTTTTAAAGGCCCAGTAGCGGTAGGTTAGAGGTAGGCTGGTACCAGTCCAAGTAGCTCGGGTCTAGGGCCTGTACGGAGGATAGCAGAGCCTGCAATGATGTTTCCCTCCGAAAGGGAGGAGGTATCGGTTGCTGGGAGGCCGCTCGGCCTAGGAAGTCACCGCCCAGGAGGCCGGTAGGCCGCTATATCTCCAGGAAGAGCAAAGAGTTCTTCCTCATTTGCGGTGTGCAAGGATTGGCGACATGCTGCTGGAGCGCAGCGCTGGTCTGGTGCAGCGCTGCTTGGAGGTGAAGGGCCGCTTTAGCTCAGCCGAGCTATGGCGAGCAGTCCAGCTTGAGGAGGAGGAAGAAGGGGGCATGATAGGAGAGTGGCGAGGCACTTACCTGGCTATGGTAGACACCATCTTCATCACCTTGTTGGGCGCTGCATCTGGAAGGCCCCAGTTGGGGTAGTGCTGCACCAAGGAAGCTCGAGGCAGAGTCAGGCATAGCGGACCAGTCAGCAGCGGCATAGCTGCTTTGGGTTGTCCTTTGGACATCAGTGCAGCACCATAGCTGCTCTGGGTTGTCCTTTGGACGTCAGGGCAAGGCCCTCATTAGTCCGCCATAGCCTATGCATGAGAGAGGAGGCTGAAGGAGGGAAGCCATGGCTATGGTGGACTGGTTGTTGTTGTTGTTGTTGTTGAGTTGAGTCAGCAGTAAGAGTGAACTTCGGATATTGATTCTGGTTCATCCATTCATTGTTATTATTATTATTGAGAGAAGAATAAGATTGGCGAAGTGAAGGAGGAGGAGGAAGGTGGAGAGAGAAGGGGGAATTGTCATTGGTCTTGCTGGTGTAGATCTTCTTCTTCTTCCTCTTCTTCTTCTTCTTCTTTCTCTCTCCTGTGGTCTTTATCTCTTTGCAAGTGCTTTCATTTCTTTCGCAATTGGGTGGCATTGTCGTTCATTGTGAATTTGCACTTGGGAAATGACCAGGATTGTAACGCTTGCTTGCTTTTCTCTCTTTTTCTTCTTTGAATTTTTCTTCTTTCCTGAGTGAGGACGCCTCCCGGGTAAACCAGGCGGGCCAGAAAAACGGCCAGAATTTATTATTATTTTTTTTGGAACCAGGGTCATTCTGCACTTGGCAAGAGGACCCCAAAGCTGCAATAAAATTTGGGTTTTGGATGGGGGGGTTGGTCTGTGTGGGGGGTGCTGGGGTTGGTCTGGGTGGGGGGTGCTGGGGTTGGGGGAGTGTCTGGGATGGCTGATGGAGGATGGCGAGATGAGATTTACGGAGGGAGGGATGGAGGATGGAGGATGGAGAAAGGCAAGGAGGAGTACGGAAGGAGGGGAAAAAGAAGATGAGGAGAGAAGAAG